ACATTTTAATACAAGAAATGCTGCTGTGAAGAAAATATAAAACTGTTTATGGAAAGCACCGTCAATGCACCGTGATGCACCGAAATATCGAATTGAACCGAATCGATGGCATGATAATCGTAACCGAACCGAACCGAACCGTGAGACTAGTGTAGGTTCACACCTCTAGCATTTAATTTTCTTTTTTTTTGTCTTATTGTACTTATGGTATATATTTGTTATTTTATTTCTTTCAATATTATTTAGTTCTATTTTAATTGTTTTTTATTTGCAATGCTTTTTATTTTAACAACATAAAAAATATATAATATATAATGATAATATACAGATTGGCTCAGTGGTTAGCACTGTGGCCTCACAGCAAGAAGGTCACTGGTTCGAGTCCCAGCTGGGTCAGTTGGCATTTCTGTGTGGAGTTTGCATGTTCTCCCCGTGTTGGCGTGGGTTTCCTCTGGGTGCTGCTGTTTCCCCCACAGTCCAAACACATGTGCTGTAGGGGAATTGATTAACTAAATTGGCCGTAGTGTATGTGTGTTAATGGGTGTTTCCCAGTACTAGGTTGCAGCTGGAATAGTTGGCGGTTCATTCCGCTGTGGTGACCCCTGATTAAAAAAACGGACTAAGCTGAAAAAAGATGAATGAATATATTTTTTATAATATATTGTAATTACATAATCTATAATTATACACAGAATTATTAATTAAATTTTCTTTTTGTTTTGTAATGTTTTAATTTGATTTAATTTGATTTAAGGTTTGATTTTTGTTTATTTCAATAAAATACAATTTTATTATTTTATTTCATTTGAATTAAATGTTAGTTTTCATATATATAATGCATTGTTGTGCTATTTTATTATATTTTGTATATTATGTATACAAAATATAATATTCATTGTATTCATTGTGCTTTATTTTCAGCTTTTCACCTGTTTTCAAATGTGCTGTTCTCTGCTTTAAGCAATGCCTTTTGTTCACACCTTCAGCAAAACAGCAGCTGAGTAAAACACTTTGTTAGTTAATGACTAAGCCTGCTAAAGCAACATAAAAGTTAACCTTCAACAGCAGCTTTACTTTTATGAGCGCTTCATGTGATTTAATCTGCTTTATATTTCACTGCCTTCATGTGCTGGACTTTGTTTTATTGCCAGCTCACACAAATGACCGACAAAAAATCTGTTAGAATTTTATTTTATTTATTAAAATTTTGTGTAAATTGTATTTTTTTTTGACAATTTTATATATTTTCATATATGTATTTTATTTTAATTATAAATATTTACACAACCGTTCTGACTGATTCTTGAATCTGATAATAGCAGCACTCATACAGCCTCTTATTACTCCGCCCACACAGAGTGACAGCAGATCAATAAACTGACTACAGTTTGACAAATATTGCAGCTGTTGGACAACATCATGTACTTTTGAGGCTTTTTTTTAAGGTGAGAATGTAGTTGTTTTAATTACGTCTATGCAGTTTATTTATAAGGATAGTGCCTATTTCAGAATATTTATAATTTTGGAGATTCAGAGCGTCGGTGTCCACCAGCCTGTCACATTGAGCAGAGCAAAGACGGTTGACATTCCACCACAAGATGGCGACAGAGACCTCATAAGTCCTTAGAGGTGAAAACCATCATTTTCTCAGTGTACGTTTCAAACTACAGCTGGACAAAACATTACACAACAGGTAAGTCACATTCTAAGTCAATCTCTCTCTCTCTTTTGTATGCTTTAGTGCTGCATTTACACCATAGTAATCTGCTAGTGTTTGCTTTGCTTTGGCTTTTTTGGGGTTTATTATTGTGATCTCCCGATTGCCACAGAGAAAATACTGGGAAATCTCTGGAGACTGATGGCATTTTATGCTGTTCAGCCTTATAATCTTAAAGTGTGAGTAAAATCAGCTGTATTGTCATCACTTTAGACATTACGCTATAGAGAATCATTCAAACACTAGCGCTTAAGTGACGTTGGTGAAGTAGCAGCGGTTTCTACTGTTCTGACGTCAGCTGCAGATGTGAATGAATCGTGGAGGAAAGTAGTTCTTCTTACAAAAGGGGTTTTAGACTCTCGGTGTTTGATTTTCTTTTTTATATACACGATTGTGCCATTGAACTGTATAAAGGCATTATCACACATGTAGCAGTGCCCTATGGCTGTATATCGGCACTTCTGCGACACTAAGGCACTGGGCCTGAGACCTCGAGCCAATGCACGCCTTCCAGCAGAGCTTATATACAGCCACATCGCACTGCTACAAGTGTGATATTGCCCTCACATACAGTTGAAGCCAAAATTATTAGCCCCCTGTTCATTTTTTTTTCTTTTAAATATTTTCCAAATTATGTCTAACAGAGCAAGAAAATGTTCACAGTATGTCTGATATTTTTTCTTCTGGAGAAAGTCTTATTTGTTTTATTTCGGCTAGAATAAAAGCAGTTTTTAATTTTTTTAAAAATATTTTAAGGTCAAAATTATTACTATTTTTTCAATAGTCTACAGAACAAACCATTATTATACAATAACTTGCCTAATTATCCTAACCTGCCTAGTTAACCTAATTACCCTAGTGAAGCCTTTAAATGTCACTTTTAGCTGTATAGAAGTGTCTTGAAGAATATCTAGTCTAATATTATTTACTGTCATCAGGGCAAAGATAAAATAAATCAGTTATTAGAGATGAGTTATTAAAACTGTTATGATTAGAAATGTGTTGAAAAAATCTCTTCGTTAAACAGAAACTGGGGGAAAAATAAACAGGGGGGCAAATAATTCTGACTTCAACTGTACATATTTTTTATATAAAAAAAAGAAATGCTTAAGGACAGGAGTGTTGTTTTAGCTAATGTTTTTTTTTCCAATTTAACAGTTTTCTTTTTTTTTATTGAAATATTCGTTTTTATTTATTTTTGCAATATTTATTTTGATCTTATATAAGCAGTTCTGTGGGCGCAAATGCCTTGTTGATGTCAGAAGTCAGAGGAGAATGGCCAGACTGGTTCCAGCTGATAGAAAGGCAACAGTAACTCAAATAAGCACTCGTTACAGCCGAGCTCTGCAGAAGAGCATCTCTGAACACACAACACGTCCAACCTTGAGGCGGATAGGCTACAGCAGCAGAAGAGCACACCGGGTGCCGCTCCTGTCAGCTAAGAACAGGAAACTGAGGCTACAATTCACACAGACTCACCAAAACTGGACAATAGAAGATTGGAGAAACGTTGCCTGCTCTGATGAGTCTCCATTTCTGCTCACACATTCAGATGCTCGGCTCAGAATTTGGCGTCAACAACATGAAAGCATGGATCCATCCTGCCTTGTATCAGCGGTTCAGGCTGGTGGTGGTGGTGTAATGGTGTGGGGGAGATTTTCTTGGCACACTTTGGGCTCATTAGTACCAATTGAGCATCAACGCCACAGCCTACCTGAGTATTGCTGCTGACCATGTCCATCTCTTTATGAGCACAGTGTCTCCATCTTCTGATGGCTACTTCCAGCAGGATAACCCACCATGTCATAAAGCGAGAATCATCTCAGACTGGTTTCTTCAACATGACAATGAGTTCACTGTGCTCAAATGGCCTCCACAGTCACCAGAGCTCAATCCAATAGAGCAGCTTTTGTGGTGGAACGGGAGATTGGCATCATGGATGTGCAGCCGACAAATCTGTAGCGACTGTGTGATGCTATCATGTCAATATGGAGCAAAATCTCGGAGGAATATTTAGCTTATTGAACTATACCACGAAGGATTAAGGCAGTTCTGAAGGCAAAAGGGGGTCCAACCCGGTAATAGGAAGGTGTACCTAATAAAGTGGCCGGTGAGTGCATGCTTACATTATGACAGAATTTTGTGATTTCATTTCAATTATTAAGTTAAACCCTATTCATTATAAAAAAACATTATGTGTATTATTTTATAAAAATTTATATTTAAAATTAAAACAAATGCATGAGGACAAGATTATTTAAAAATTTTTTGCTCTTTATATAAATAATAAAAAATTTAAATGTATATTTAATTAAAGGTTTTGTCTGTTTTTTTATCAGTTTAATTTATTTTGC